ATATAAATATATATATCTTTATATATATACTGTATGTATTTCTATAAACACACAACTCCTACTATCCCTCAACTGATGGTGTTCCTTGGATGGGTTAAAAAAAAATTCTTGCGCGCGCTTAAATAATTTTATAAACTCCCTACACAATCTTCAGTTTTGTACAACGTAACACTATAGTGTTATACTCTCAACAAAGGAGATAATCTTAGTTATTAGTCTCACGATAATGCGAAGGAAATTCTCATTATCTGTACTGATATATGGACATTGGCGCTGCGCAGTAAACCTTTTATTAGATTGGTCCGACAAATGTTGGAGGAAAGGGGAGGGGAGAAAAAGTAGGAAAGAGCGCGCCGCGTGCATAAATAAAAATCCAATTGCAAATAATCGTCGACCAATAACGTCTGTCCGTTTCTGTCGATCCCATAATGCTTTGGGTCAAGTTAATATGGCGTACGTTTAGACCTCTTCCCTTGTCTTTACTCATCTAAGGATTTCGCCGTCCTTTTCTAGGTAATAATTATCTTCTGACCTTGAAACTTTTTAATTATTACGTATTAGGCCTGACGTCGACTCGATTGTTACGTAAAAACGTCGGTTTTTTTTATAAAAGAGACGAAATTGACAGCATTTGTTGTGTAGTTTCGTACTTTTCCAATAGATGGCGATATAATTTAGAAAGTTTTTTTTTTTATTATTTTTCAATATTAAAAATTAATCGTTAATTGAGGCCAAAATTATTGGGTTCGATGGAATGGGCAACACATGGGCGATCTGCCAAGGGAGATGCCAACGGAGGAGTTTCTATAAATAACTGGCCCCTATTTAGGTTGTTAGACAGGTGAAGAAAACCCGATAAAACCCGAGATCTTGCTGTTGAGCGAATCCACAACCAGTGTTCAGTTGTGTAATCCATTCTACTACTGTGGATTCTNTAATATATATTTCGAAAACATAAATTAAAAATTCTAAAAATATATTATTAAAATAGAAAAAGAAGCTATTTAATTTTATTAAGTTACTTTTCAAAATTTAATTATTATTATTTTTAATATAAAAGCTTTTAATTGCTTTTTAGATGTATGATGATAAAATTTATTAATTTATTTATAAAAACTTCACATCTTGTCAACAGATGGCATCAAGTATATTAATAAATATAACTTCGAATATAATAACGTAATAATTTTATAAAAAATCATTAACAAATAATATAATAACATTAACTCCATTTTAATTAATAATAATTAATTTACGAAAGAAAAAAATGATAATTAAAATAAAAATTATAATATTTATATAGTTTGTATTTTTTCCGACAGATGACGACACATTACAATTCTGAAATTATAAGAACGTCAACCTCTATTGATCCTTTGTGCATGAAAACAGTTATCATCATAAAAAGAAATGTTTAAAAATAAATATTCGAATGTAATTGAATTTTAAAATATTTTAAAAGAAAAAAGAAATTAGATAAATTTTATCTGTTTATATAAAAATTGTAACATAAAAATGTATTTTAAAAAATGCTTTTATGATAAATTATCTTAATTAACTTGTTGAAAATTGTGTTAAATTTATCAAAAAGTATAAAAATTTCAAATTTATTTTAATTAGCAAAAAATAAGGCAATTTTTAACTTTTATTAAAGCTGGAGGACTTTCAAGTGGAGGTTTTTTAAAAAATATTTTTATTTGATAATTTAAAAATGTAAATTATTATAGCATTAATTAAATTAGCAAATAAATTAAAAGAATTTTCTTAAAACAACGCTGAAACTTTTAATTTTATATTACAGAAGAACCTGCAATAACAATCACTTCCCAAAGGCATTACCTGGTAACTGCGGCCATTTTCCTGAACGTTGCTGTTTGAAATTCATACAGAATTACCGCAAAACAATGACCAAATTTTTCGTGTTGTTGCCCGTGTACGTTGTTCAAAGGTTTTTAGACAAATTAACTCCTCTAAGAGGGACAAAAAGTACTTTAAACGATTAGAGAATGAATACTAGAAAATTAATCATAAAAAACTTGTAAGTAATGCTACTTGTAACTAGAAATAACTAGTAAATAGAAACAAATTAGGTACTACTGAACTTTCATTACTTACTGTAACCCCAAGTTAAATATGCTGTAAAAGTATCTACATACAATAAGACCTGATTAAAACGGAAACCTGTGAAACTAGAAAAAATATTTGGTATCGTGCGATTCCGGCTTATAAAGGTTTCACTGTGCTAAGTTAATATCGTTAGTATTTAAGATATTACACTATCATCGTGATGATTATTTTTCAGTTTGATAGCCTAGACGATTAAGTGATCAACTTAACGCTCCGGAGGATCCGGGATCGAGTCTAGACAGTATATTCGGCAATATTTTCATGATAATTTGTCCCCGGGTCCATCCTTCATCATCTGGATGCCCCTGTTTTGGGCCTGGCTGAACCCACGATTGGTTTGGAAAAAAGACCCATAGTGTGCACAAGAAGGAAAGAGTTGAAAAGATATGTTTCAGTTGGTTTGAGTGAATACGACTAGAAACTATAATTATTATAGTTTATAGATATTTCTGTAAAATTTAATAAAATTTTTTATATTTAAAGAGTGATGTGTCTAGAATTTTCTACGAGATTTATAATTAAGGGTTGGATTTTTATGCACGTGCATGTTTTTTCCCGTAAATGCTACGTTAAATAACCCAAGTATAAACTGAATTTGAGTCATATTAAGGTTATTAAAAACGTGAATAAAATATGCACATTTAGATTTTCACTGCATGTTTTGCAGATTTGACCATTTTTAAGCTAAACAAGTGCTTGTTTGTTTGGTTTGGTTTATTTGTTTACGGCAACGCGACACATAAGCGATCTGCTAAAGAGGACTTTATATGGGAATTAGATGTTACTAACGTGAAGAAAACCCAGAAAATTCCACCTGGCCGGTCCTTTGTCTGGGCGCGAACCCACGACCAGTGTTAAATGGATTTACCCACTCCGCCACTGGTGGGCATAAACTTGTTTGCAAATGATTGCAAATGCTACCTTGCTGTGAATGTGAATCTTTTTTGTGCATGTACAGTCCACGTGAGAAATATCACTCTCCCATCCAACACTTAAATTTCGAGAGATGAACTCTCGAAATTCAAGTGTTTCAAATTTAAACGCCTCTTCTTTCAAACAGACATGTTTCTCATTGCCACGGAAATCTCTCATTTTTGTCAAATTCTGGAAATTTTTTGAATTAATTAGGATAGTATTTATGAAGTTAATAATGTTACAATTAAAATCTTTCTAAACTTATTTAAGTGTAATGTTTAATTAAACATAAAGGTGGTTTCTTGTGTGTTTATGAGTAAATTAAGCTGGATGGTTTGCACTTTTTAGTTTCCAGGTTACTGTGATTGAGATTTCGAGAACGTTTTGCAACATCGATAGGAACTAGAATCCTCTTCCTTCATTTTTTTCTCATACTGAAGACGTGATTGGAATTGTTTAATGGTAATGACATCGTTTTAAGCTAGCTCAAGTTTCTGATCTGGCTAGTGATGGTAATAAAAATTACTACGATTATTAAACTAGTTTAAATTGCTACTGCACACAGTATATAAGGTTAGCAATTCTAGAAATTTAGTTGGAATTACATACTTCTATCTTAAAATTGTATCCTGCACATTTCAGGCTTGATTATGTATCCCTGTTTCTTTTTATATTGGTGTCTCTTCAATAGCTGCTGTTGTTCTTTCCCAAATTTTAAATAAATGCATTAGTCGGTTTTATTCCCGAAGAATGGAATTTATTTCCAGTTGTAGCAATTCCAAAAATAAAAGAATAGTGGTTCTCACCGCCATATTTTATTATCTTCTGCAATGTTAAAAAATGTTCAAAATTTTTGGTAATTTATGTTTACCTCTAACAACTCGCGCCTCACCATCAGTCTGGTTTATTGGGTTTCTGTCACGTGTCTAACACTCTAAATATAGACCAGTTTTCTATTCAAGTCTTCTGGGAGACACTCCCAGTTGGCAAATCGCCCATATGTTCATTGCTCCAAAGCATCCTAATTTTTGTATTAATAGCAATTGTATAAATTTATATACGATCCTGTCATTGTGTTTTGGTGAGAAACTAACAGTTAATTGTTCTATACTCCCTTTTGAAAAAGAATTGACTATTCATAGAGGTATTTAATGGTGTAATTGCCATACCGTTTCTTATCGTCTGACCTTACGCGAAATATTTTTCGCAAGCATTCATTCTGTAATAGATTATTGTTTACCCATTTGAGCAATGACTGCATCTTTGTTACTTCAGGAAGTCTCTCCAGAACTTGAAACCATCTACTTAATTTTTAATAAACTATGCGATATATCTGCGAGTGTCCTGATTCCATTTGGGTTACATTTTTAATAAAATCTTATTATAGAAATACTTCATATTTTCTTCAATTTGATTTCTTTGCGTTAAGAGTATCTATAGTATGCGCAGCGAAAGATAGTCCTAATAATTGATGTATGAATCCTCGCGATTGGAAAATATCATCTTTTTTTACTTTTAATCCACCATTTTCAGCTACCCCACTGTGACCTCCTCTTCTGCTTTAGTTCTGACACTGAGGTTATACAAATAACCTTTGTTCTTAATCTGCGCTATGGCTTCATCAGCAGTATGACATTCTCCTTTAAACTCAACAACTACTGGAATAGGTTTTGGGTTAATTCTGCCATTTGCATCTTTTATACGTGACATAAATATTAAATCTGCACGGCCATTACCCGCAATACGTTCAACATAACGGTTAAGACCATAGCGATATTTAAACTTTAATACTAAAGCACCATAGTAGAATCCATGATACGCTGCTTCTGAGTTGCTTAGTGTGAATTTTTCTCGATTTCTCTGATACGCTTTATTAAATTTGTTAAAAATTTTCTCTGTACCACCTATTGCTTTCCACATATCTTCTTTAGAAAGCTTTTTAAATGAATATTCAAGATTTGTAGACTAAGCATTGACCTCTTTAAACCCATTATTAATCTGAGATTGAGAAGACGCTGCTGTTTCATATTTTTCTTTTACTCCATCTGTCTGCCATTTATGTAATCTAAATGATTTATTGCCTAGTTCTCGTTCAGTACGAATACGAAACACATGTTCATCTATATTTCTCTCAAAAAATAATGGCAATCCTCTTCGGAAAGAAAATTCAACATACGGATTGATGTTTCCATAAAGAGACTTTGCCATGGCCAATCCATAAAACATTTTAACACTTTATAAGGGTAGCTTTTAAATACTTCTGTTTGCTGCTCTTCGTCCATTTGTGAGAGTAAAAAACATAAAACATCAGCATAATATTCTTCAGGAAGATTAGTACAATTGCTGGCAGAGCTGCAACGTCTCTCTGCTACATATCCTGCAGTTCTTACTAAAGACGCTTTTCTTTCTTCAGGAGTCAATCTTTGTAAAATATATTCTGTTGCTACTTTATTACCTCCAACTGCTGCATATTCGAATGCATATTGATAAGGAGAGCATTTATGTCGCAACTTTCTTTCAATCATATTATCCATCTTAGCCACCTCGCCTTTTATATCATATGTCCAAAGAACCACTAATTCCTGCTGTCTAACCTTTCTTGGGTCTAAATACATGCTAATTTATAGCGTCTGGTAATATCTGTCCAGAAAAGCCTACTTAAGTTCTTTTTGACATAGCTTCCACTCAAAAACTTTCGATGATATTCCATTCATTTTAATATTTGTAAGCCCATTGGCTTAATAAAACCCAATATTTCCTCTTTTAAAGGTTCTGGTTGTGAAAGCTGTTGTACTTTTTCTATTACTTTGTCTTCTATCTCTTTCCACTTTTCTCTTCTTTCACTGCCAAGTAATGGAAAATAGAACTTTGCCATTAAAGCCCTAGCCTCATCTTGATTCCATAACATACTAGCTATCTTAACTAAAGCTATATGCTCAAGAGGTGGCATTAAAGTGTAATTCATTATTTACTCCCTACTGAAATACTTAGTGTACCCTAAAAAATAAAGAGAAAAACATATTTTATTCTATTGTGGTATCTTGAATCACACACACACTCAAAACCATTGCTTTCATCAACTTTTATTCAAATTCTAAGGGGCATTAGAGATGTTTTCTAAATAAAGCTATAGAAAGGAATACTTGATTACAAACAACGCTATAAAAACCTGAGTTGCAAGAGACTACATCAGATGAAAGGGAAGGAAAAAGACATGGATGTAATCTCTTTCAGCATATTTGTTTATCACATATTTAAAATGTCTCTATACTGTCAGGCTGACTCATGTCTATTCATTAGCCAGTGCGGGCTATAATAGAATCACTAGAAATAAACCTGAATTTTTTTATTTATATTCTGTTTTTCTGTATTTTATAGGATTTTTCTATTATTTGATGTAATTATCACTTGCCTATTGGCACTACTAATGTATGCGATAAATAATGATGCCAGATGGTATAATCACAGAGTCTATTTTAGCGCTGCTGTTATCCTATTGGTTGATGCAATCCGGTAACCAAAAAATATTCAGACAACGGCACCAATATAGCAACTGAGATGTGTACGTTGGTGCACGTGAATTTGTATTCTTCATAGTGGACCATTGATTTTCCTCCACACTTTTGTACCAACATTTTGCCACTCCAACTGATATCTCAGAATAGTAAGTCAACAGAGCGTAGTTATGTGTAACGTATGTTTCTTGAGGCTGCTAAAGATTCGAATTAAGTGTATATTAAATAGGCACTGGTATTTCTGCTACTTTAAGAAAGTTTCTAATACACGTAGGTAAATCAAAACGTTACCTATATATGATGATAAAAAATTTCAAATATAATCGAGGCGGCTATAATGTTGAGATGTGTCTTCTCGTGTCAGATTTTGCGTGCACAGGTACAACACATAAAGTGTGACGTCAGCACACCTTAAGAAAGATGACAGATATGTTCCAAAGAGGAGCAGCATGCAGTTATCCAGTTTTTCAATAGTGAAGTTACTAGTGACAAATCATAGTTTCATTACTTTCAGCCAGAGATTAAGCGAGCATGCAAGGAGTGGCGACATTTTACATCACCGAAACCAAAATTTTCGCAGGACTCCATCCCTGAAAAGTGTGAGCACTAACACTTCTCTGTGACTTTCTGGAATGTGCCCAGAGGATTATTAGTGAACACTTCAGCATGTTGTGACTTGCTCCAGAATTACTCAAAATTCGCAATAATATCCAAACGTCGTGGTTTACTCAGTTCTGGTATATTCTTACAGCATATTACACGACCACACACATCTCGACAGTCCAAAAAATTTGGTATTTGCATATGGAGTGTTTCTCATATTCCCCTATTTGCGTGACCTTGCATCGAGCGATTATCGTGCCTTTGAACCACTGAAAGAAGATTTTGGGGTAAAAAAATTCGGTACTTAGAATGAGATGTAAACAGTGGCTGTACAGACAGCCACTCATGCACCACTTGTGGAATACAAGCACTAGGGAGGCACTGGTGCACATATATTA